GCCCAGCTCTGGCCATTGTGGCCATTTGGGGAGTGAACCAGTGGACAGAAGACCTTTCCCTCTGTCTCTCCCTCTCACTGTAACTCTACCTCTCAAACAAATAAACCTTTTTTAAAAAAAGAAGCAACCAAGATGTTCTGTAGGTGAACGAATATGCAAATTGTGATACACCCAGACAATGGATTAATTTTCAGCTCTCAAAAGAAATTAACTATTGAGGTATAAAAATACATGAAGGAATCTTAAATGCACACTACTAAGCAAAAGAAGTCAATCTGGAAAGGCTAAATACTGTCTATACAACTGTGTGTACAAGTATGCAGCATTCTGGAAAAAGTCAAAACTATGAAGATAATAAAAAGATCAGTGATTGCCAAAGGTTGGTGGGGGTGGGGAGGACAAATACGCTGAGCACAGAGGATTTTCAGGGCAGTGAAAATACGTGTGATAACATAATGGAGGCTACATATCATTGTACAATTGTCCAAACCCATGAAATATATAACAGTACATGTCAACCATAATGTAATCTATGGCCTTAGGTGACAATGATGTGTCAATATAGGTTCATCAATTATAACAAATTTATCACACTGGTGGGGGGGCATTTGTTAATATGCGAGGCTATGCACTTGTGGAAACAGGTGGTGCATGGGGAATTTCTGTACCTTCCTCTCAATTTTTCTATGAATAGAAAACTGCTCAAAAAATGCAGTACTTTTTTTATTTGAAAGGCAGACATACACATACACACACAGAAACAGAGACATCTTCCATCCACCAGTTCACTCCCCAAATGGCCATAATGGTTAGGGCTGGGGTGGGCCAGGCCAAAGCTAGGAGCTTCTTTTGGGTCTCCCATGTGGGTGCAGGGGCCCAAGGACTCTGGCCATCTTCTACTGCTTTCTTAGGCACACTAGCGGGGAGCTGAATAATAAGTGGAGCAGCCAAGACTAGAACTAGCAGCCATATGAGATGCCAGCATTGCAGGTGGCAGCTTTATCTGCTATACCACAATGCCAGACCCCCAAAACATATTGTTCATCAGTCACCAAAATGGCTAAAACTAGAGAGTGGCAACCCTCAATGATGGCAAGGATGAGAAAGAACTGGAATTATTATACATTATTGGTAGGCATGTAAAGCGATATAATTTGGAGAAAATGTTCAGGGCCAACACTGTGGCAGAGAGGGTTAAGCCTCCACCTGTAGTATTGGCATCCCATATGGGTGCTGGTTCATGTCCCAGCTGTTCCAAGTGCTTAAGGCCCTGCACCCAAGTGGGATACCTGGAAGAAGCTCCTGCTTTGGCCTGGCCCAGCCCAGCCCAGCCCTAACCATAATGGCCATTTGGGAGTGAACCAATAGATAGAAGATCAATCTCAAGATCTTTTCTCTATTTCTCCTCTCTAGTTCTGCCTTTCAAATAAATAAATAAATCTTTTAAAAATTATGTTCAGTAGGGGGCCGGCGCAGGGGCTCACTTGGTTAATCCTCCACCTGCGGCACTGGCATCCCATATGGGCACTGGGTTCTAGTTCCAGTGCTCCTCTTCCAGACCAGCTTTCTGCTGTGGTCCGGGAAGGCAGTGGAGGATGGCCCAAGTTGTTGGGCCCCTGCACCTGCATGGGAGACCAGGAATAAGTGCCTGGCTCCTGGCTTTGGATCAGTGCAGCGCCAGCTGTAGCGGCCATTTGGGGAATGAACCAACGGAAGGAAGACCTTTCTCTCTGTCTCTGTCTATAACTCTACCTGCCAAATAAAAAAAAATATGTTCAGCAATTTCTTATAAAAGCAAGAATATACTTCTCTGACCCAGCTATTTCATCCAGCAGAGAGCTGGATAGGAAGTGGAACACCCGGGACTTGAACCGGTGCCCATATGGGATGCCGGCGCATCAGGCCAGGATGTTAACTGGCTGCGCCACAGTGCTGGCCCCTAAATACTGTATGTTTACATTTATATGGAATGATAAAACAGATAAAACTATGGTAGGAAGAAATCAGAACAGGAGTTGTCTCAGGGATAATGGAGATTCAAGCAGGGAAAGACTGGGAAGAGGCATGGAAGAACTTTGTTGCATAATGGTAACATTGTGTACCTTGATGCAGATTTGGGTTACACTGGTACATGCACACATATGTTAAAACTCGGCTAGTTTTAAGCTTTGGACATTCAATTACATGTGAATTTTGCAAGAAAATGAAAAACTATGTATGGGTGGGTCTTGTACAGTCGGTTAAGCCACTGCCTAGGATGCCTGCATCCCATATCAGAGTGCCTGGTTTGAGTCCCAACTACTCTGTGTTTCTGATTAAAGCATCTTAGAAGCAGCAAATGAGTGTTCAAGTACTTTGGTTCCTGCCACCCACATGGGAGCCCCAGAGGCAGTTCCTGACTCCTGGTTTCAGCTGGGCTTAGCTCCAGCTGTTGCAGGCATTTGGGGAATAAACCAGCAGTCGGAAGATTTGTCTCCCTCACTCTGTCACTATGCCTTTCCAATAAATAAACCTTTAAAAAAACCAAAAACTACTGAACTCCAACTAAATTATATGTACACTGAAGGTTTTTGAAATTTTATTGTGATTCTGATACATAACAGTTGTACATACTTGAGTACAGTGTAACATTTCAATAAAAGTGCATGTTGTATAATGGTCATATCAGGGTATTAAGCATATCCATTACCTCATTTACCATTTCTTTATTTTGAAAAATGCAATACTGTCAACTATAGTGACCCTACTATGCAAGAGAACACCAGAACTTTTTCCTCGTATCTAACAGCAATTTTGTACCTATTGACCAATCTCTCCTCCATCCTCCCCAGCCTTTGTAACCACTATTCTATTTAGTACTTCTGTGAGATCAGCTGTTTAAGATTCCACATAAAAGTGAGATTGGGTGTTACTTGTTTTTCTGTGCCTGGCTTAATGTAACATCCTCTAGGTTCATCCATGTTGCTGCAAATGACAGGATCTCATTCCGTTTATGGCTGAATAGCATTTCATTATGCATATATACCACATTTTCTTTTTCCATTTAGGAGAAATATACTGACATCTATAATTTACTTTTAAATTCATATAAATAAGATGGATTAATGAACTGATGGAGACAGAAAAAATGTACAGACATGTTATAAAGAAAGCACAGCTAAATGTTAATGATAGAATCTAGGTGGCGAATAGACTATTGATTTTAAAATTCAACCTTTATGTGTGTTTGAATATTTCCATAACACAATGTTGGAAAAGAGCAAAGTCAGCATTATACAGTGACTGACTACAACTTGGGTATAGGCAGGTAAGAGAGGGGAGAGAGTAAAGAAATCAGGGTTTAGATAATAGGTCAATTAGGTGGAAATGTTACCACTGCTAACAAACTAAGAAACCACGGAGAAGAGTCAGTGAGTCAACATTTTGTGTGGCCTAAGAAGAAAGGAGATAAAAATGAGGAATTTCATTATGGACTTTTAAATTTGAAATGAAAGTTTAAAAGCTACATGAAAATGTGTAGCAAGTAGGCTGGTGCCAAGGCTCAATAGGCTAATCCCCAACCTGTGGCACCGGCACCCCAGGTTCTAGTCCCGGTCGGGGTGCCGGATTCTGTCTCGGTTGCCCCTCTTCCTATCCAGCTCTCTGCTGTGGCCAGGGAGTGCAGTGGAGGATGGCCCAAGTGCTTGGGCCCTGCACCCACATGGGAGACCAGGAGAAGCACCTGGCTCCTGGCTTCGGATCAGCACGGTGTGCCGGCCGTAGGGGCCATTGGGGGGTGGACCAACAGAAGGAAGACCTTTCTCTCTGTCTCTCTCTCTCACTGTCCACTCTGCCTGTCAAAAAAAAAAAAAAAAGAAAAAGAAAATAAAATGTGTAGCAAGTAGCTAGAGAAAAATATCTGATAATTCTGAGGCCAAGGCTACCTAAATCTAGGAATCAACTACCTCGAAGTATTAACGATGAAGTTTGAAGGAAGGGAAAAAGGACATCATGAAGTCGAAGAAAATCTTGGCAATTAATTTGGGATTGGGGGAAAAAAGACCAAAATTGAATAGAAAAGCAGCTAGAAATATCAAGAGAATGTCACAGCAAAGCAAGTATTAGGGGCTGGCATTTTAGCAAAGGGGGTTAAGTCACTGCTTGTAATGCAGGCATCCCATATGAGAGTTGAAGTTGTGGTTGCTTTGCTTCTGGTCCAGCTCCCTATCAATGTATCTGGGAAGGCAGCACCCACATGGGAGACCAAGACAAAGTTCCTGGTTCCTGGCTTTGGCCTGGCCTAGACCTGGTTTTTAATGCCATTTGGGGAGTGAAATAGCAGACATAAAACGGATGTCTGTCAGTGTGTCTGCCTCTCTCATCCTCCCCCTGTCACTCTGTTTTTCAAAGAATAATACATCTTTCTTTCAAGAAAAGAAAGTATAAGTAAACTACAAGGAACTTTCAAGTACAATTCTTTTTTAAGCAATGCTACCAAACTGAAGGATAACTTCCAATGGAAACCACTCCTTAGCTATTTAAGGAAATGAGCATATGGCTGAAATCCAAGCAGATCAGATCCCCAATTCTCCCCTAAAACCCTCTGCACGTCTTCACAATTCATTTGGAATCCTAAATAACAAAGACTGCAACAATTTCATATACTTGTGGAAAGAATTTTAAAAATGGAGAAAAATTGACACTGACTCCTGCTTTTAAAGAACAACAGCGGAGAACAGGAAAGATAGCTATTTGAGAATCTTTTTCAGGAAAGATATGTCACTGCCCAAAAAAAGGATCAAAAGTCAAATCAACTATCTACTTGCTGATTATGTAAATGATACCCTTAGCTTTCAATCTCTCCATTCTGCAGTCACTTACCTGGCATTATGCTCAAGTTCATTTCCATTTCGCTGCTCACCCCAGTTTTCTCATAGGTCAAGCATAGAGAAATATGCACCAAGATTTTTTTTAAAATATCAGACTTAGATAACCCTCACCAAGTCTCAAAATCTACTTACCTTGAGGCAGGTCACTGCCACTTGGATCACAGGAGTAAGGCGGAGGTGGTGGTGGAAAGTTTGAAGCCTCTCCCATCTCAAGAGAAGGAAGTGGAGGTGGTGGTGGTGGTGGTGGTGGTACTGGTAGAGAGGCAGCAGCAGCAGCAGGAGGAAGTGGAGGAGAGTGGTATGGATAGGACTGTGAGACAATCACTAAAAAAGAAAAGTAGCAATGTATATTGTAATACCTTATAAACAACTTATCTTCTGCTTTTATGTTCCCTGTATGGTCATGAAACTCTTTAATTTTCATAGTTTCACTTAAAGATAAAAACTTTCAAGGTGGGGCCAACGATGCAGCTCAGCAGGTTTAAGCTGCCACTTGCAACACTGGCATCCCATACTTTGGTGCAAGTTCAAGTCCTGGCTGTTCCACTTCCAATCCAGATTCCTGGTTATGTTCCTCAGAAGGTATCAGAAAATGGTCCAAGTACTTGGGTCCCTGCCACACATGTGAGAAACCATGAAGGAGTTCCTGGCTCCTGGTTTGGCCTGGTCTAGACCTGGCTACTGAGACCACTTGAAGAGTGAATCAGCAAATGTTAGATCTCTCTCCAGTCCCCCTTTCTCTCTCCACCTTCCTTCTTCTTTATCTCTCTTCCCCTTCTTTTACTTTGCTTTTCAAATAATAAAATCTTTTTTTTAAAAAAATCTTTGGTTACTTAGTTTAATATATAATTTAAAGCATCAATCTTTCATGCTTAAATCACAAGATGCATAAGCTAATAAGAAACTAAACTGCACAGATTTCACATTTTAGCAATCTTTGAGAAATTCTACTGGTAACATCTGAGAAACATGGGAAATTCTATATCATAACAGTTCCATATCTAAGGAGGTACAAAACAAAACAGGCTAAATAAACATTAAAGGGCTAACTTTAATGTTCTCTACCTCTTAATATAGTTTAAAAACAATACTCAGTGTCTCACAGTTTTAGATATAAGAAATTAAAATATAATAACATTTAAATATGAATATTCTATGATAATAAAGGAGAAATAATGTGGCTCTTCCTAGTTAATACATACATCCTCCTCTTTCTCTCTCTCTCTCTACACACACACACACACACACACACACACGACAAGCCAGTTAAATTTTTCTAACAAAAGATGAAGGATATAACCCATCAAGTTTACCTGAATCACTTGAGCCAACTTAGAAATTCAAGTATGAAACTTCATCACTATGTCACCTGCACTAACATTTTCATACTGAGAAGTAGAGGAAGTTTAGTATCATCATTCAATACATGTTTAAATTCAGAATTTCTGCCCAGTGAATTTAGTACAGGAACAGTCAACACAAGGTTAATTTGTTATTGTAGTAATTTAGCAATAAGTAATCCATGTTGTTTTCATTCACTGACAAATACTAACAATATATTCATCTATAACTTTTATATACTTACAGGGTAATGGTTATAGGAAATCTGTATATCTCAGGGTTATCTAAAACTTGGTTACCAATTTGGGGATGGAGGTCTGGTGATAAAACTTTCTCTCTTGATTGTGGAAGTGGTTATACAACTCCATGCATTTGTCAGAACTATAACTTGGTACCCCAAAAATGAATTTTCCCATATATAAATATTAAATTTTAAAAACTTGCTTAACTAACTGTTGGAGCTTTTTCATGCATTTAGAAACATTCTACAATTTGAGAATAATTTTCGGAATATCCTTAAGTGCTATAAATCAATGAATTTGTTTTCAATAAAACAAATTATTCAACAAAGCTCTTCTCTTACTCCTTTTAAATACTCAAAATAAGTCACATTTAAAAAAAAGAAACTGCAGTAAAAACTAGCTAAAAATAGCAGAGTGTGATTATGATCACTAGGTAAAAACCAACTAATAGAAAAAGACCTACATAAATTTTTCATGGACCTGAAAGAATCAAAGGTAGAAAAATTTGAAGGTCACATTGTCTGAACTCATCTTCCTTATATACCCACAGTATTATAATAAGCCCTCTAAGAAAATGTTCTTATAATCTCCAGTGGCTCTATAAATGCATGAGCATCTCATTCTTAACACAGTCTTTGTAGGCTCAATGGGATATTGTTTGAGGGACAGAAATTAAATATTCTAAAATCTTAGTAGAAATCAATGTAATGCTGTTAGAATGCTTATTTCCTCTTGTTCATGTAGCTGCAGTCTGCTTCAGGGTATTTTAGAGAATGTAAATATAAACAATAGACTGATTCTCTAGAGATCAAAAAGAGGGCTAAGACTAACATTTTTAAGATTTATGTACATCAACAGTCAGGACAAGAGCTGATCAAGTCACTGTTTCTCATAGTGTCCATTTCACATCAAGAGGTTTCCCCTTTGGTGCTCAGCTAGTTGTCGCCAATCAGGGAGAACATATGATATTTGTCCCTTTGGGACTGGCTTAATTCACTCAGCATAATGTTGGTTGAACTCTGTAATTAACACACAATTATTCTTAGGTGTTGAAATTTTAACTGAAAAGTGATCCCTGTTAAATATAACAGTGGGAATAAGAGGGAGGAGATGTACAATTTGGGACATGCTCAGATGGACTTGCCCCAAATGGTGGAGTTAGAAACTTGCCAGGGGATTCCAATACAATCCTATCAAGGTGGCATGTACCAATGCCATCTCACTAGTCCAAGTGATCAATTTCAGTTCACAATTGATCACACTGAGAGGTCTAAGAGTCAAAGGGATCACACAAACAAGACTAGTGTCTGCTAATACTAACTGATAGAATCAAAAAGGGAGAGAACGATCCAACATGGGAAGCGGGATACACAGCAGACTCATAGAATGGCAAATGTCCTAAACAGCACTCTGGCCACAGAATCAGCCCTTAAAGCATTCGGATCTGGCTGAAGAGCCCATGAGAGTATTTTAGGCAGGGAAAGCCAAGACACTCTGGGAAAAAAAAAAGACCTAAATGAAAGATCTCTGCAAGTGAGATCCCAGTGGAAAGAACGGGCCATCAAAGAAGGAGGTACCTTTCTCTGAAGGGAGGAGAGAACTTCCACTTTGACTATGACCTTGTCTAAATATGATCAGAGTTGGCAAACTCAAAAGGCTTCCATAGCCTTGGCAACTCATGACTAGAGCCTAGGGAGATTACTGACGCCATAAACAAGAGTGTCAAATTGTTAAGTCAACAACAGGAGTCACTGTGTACTTACTTCTCATGTGGGATCTGTCCTTAATGTGCTGTCCAATGTGAAGTAATACTATAACTAGTACTGAAACAGTATTTTACACTTTGTGTTTCTGTGTGGGTGCAAACTGATGAAATCTTTACTTAATATATACTGAATCGATCTTCTGTATATAAAGATAATTGAAAATGAATCTTGATGTGAATGGAGTGGGAGAGGGAGCGGGATATGGGAGGGGTGCGAATGGGAGGGAAATTATGGGGGGGGGAAGCCATTGTAATCCATAAACTGTACTTTGGAAATTTATATTTACTAAATAAAAAAAAATAAAAAAAGATTTATGTATTTATTTGAAAATCACAGAGGGAGAGATGAAGAGAAAGAGATCTTCTATCACCTGGTTCACTTTCCAGATGGCCGCAACAACCAGGGCTAGGCCAAGCCAAACCTAGGAGCTTTTTCTGAGTCTCCTGTGTGGGTCAAAGGGACCCAAGCACTTGGGACATCTTCTGCTGCTTTTCTCAGGCCATTAGCATGGAGCTGGATAGAAAGTGGAGCATCTGGGACTGATCTGGAGCCCATATGGGATGCTGGCATCGCATGTGGCAGCTTTACCTGCTTTCCACAATGCTGGCCCCATGAAAAATTTTGATAAAGACAGGTTTCAAACTTCCACTTCCATGTGTCTCACTCACCTCACCCCAAGTTTGGACCATAAAGCCTGTCTTCATTAAAATTGATACTTTGTTGTTCATGGACTTTTTTTCCCCCCATTAGCAATGGTTTTTAAAATAATGAATTAAAGTATTATTTATCTTAAATTACAGTGCATTTTTGATATCTCCTTAAATTTTGCATTCAGGGCAATTGAGTCACTAGTTCTGGTCTGGGGGACAGTCTTGGAAATAGTTACCAAAATGGGAAGTTGACACAATTTAATGCCTATGAAGAGATTTCTATTAAATATAATCACTGCATCAAATTACCTAGCATATTAGCAGTAAGTTACAAGAGAATGGAAAGGCCGGCGCTGTGGCATAGTGGTTAAAAACTGCCGCCAGCAGTGCCAGCATCCCATCTGGGCGCTAGTTCGAATCTTGGCTGTTCCACTTCCTATCCAGCTCTCTGCTATGGCCTGGGAAAGCAGTAGAAGATGGCCCAAGTCCTGTGCTCCTGTACCCTCATGGAAGATATCGAAGAAGCTCCTGCCTCCAGATGGGCCCAGCTCCAGCCTTTGTGGCCATTGGGGGAGTGAACCAGTGGATGGAAGACCTCTCTCTCTCAAATAAAGAAATAAATCTTAAAGGGGGGGTGGGGAGAAGGATGGAAAGGGCCAATCAGAAAGACATTATGAACAAAGTAGGAAACATTAGTTGTTTCATCTAAGGGGTTGATAAGAATGGGAAAGAGGAAGTAAAAAGCAGCCAAATCTAGTAAATTACAGCTATAGTTGAGGTTCATAAGTGACAACAAAAAAAGCAAAATAAAAGAAGCATATATTCAGGAAAACCTGACATTTAAAGGGTAAGCCTTCAATCATTCCACATAATTGAGGCATTACAATGCTCATCTATTACTTGATTTTTTTTAAAGCTCAGATGTCTGCTAGAAGCAGACAGCCAATGCTTTCCCCTACAATTAGCACAAAGTAGTAAAACCAGGGTCTATAACAACATTCCCAATGAAAAATTTAAACATTATTAATATTTACTATTTTGTTACAGGCACTGTGATAAACATTTTTTTAAATGAAACATATATAGAAACAAATCAAATGTATGGCTTATTGGATTACTTTAAAGGAAAACACTAACCAGGTCAAGAAACTGAATTTTGCTAGCAACCTCACACTTTCCTTTCCCTTTGCCTCATTAATCCCAGCCTTTTCTCTCCTACCATAACAAGCCATTATTTTGACATTAATAGTAATTACTTCCTTGTGATTTTTAGAATTTTTATCACCCAAATTTGCATCCTTAGATAGTTTTTCAGTATTGCCCAT